AGAGAGAGAGAGAGAGAGAGAGAGAGAGAGAGAGAGAGAGAGAGAGAAGGGGGGAAAAAGGCTAAACAGGCTAAACACGAAAGGGAGAGAGGTTGATTCGCATGTCAGCACCTCTAACCAGACAGAGAGGCAGGCCGGCAGAGAGGCCTGGGGGTGAAGGGGAGCATTCTAGTTCAGCTTTTTTCAAAGATTGCTGACTGGCTTCCTCCTGCGTCGGCCCAGGAGCCTGGGAACAGGCAGCACACATTCCTCCCTCTGATTGCAGCTGATGAAACACTCATGTTGCCTCTGTCTTCCCAGTACCTGGCACATGCCAAACTCCTCAGATCCAAGCCGCAGCAATGTGTTGTTGCCGAGTCCGGCATGCCAAACCTGGGCAGGGCCCAGATCAGATACAGACGGACGCAGATCCTGTTTGCTTTTTACATGACACTGGTGTTTGACGAAGGAGCTTTGTCTTCAAATACAATGAACTTAACGTGGGTTTGTTTTTGTCTCTTTCCAGTTATCAGGGCAAAGGTGGTCGGGAGGCAGGAGGTTGACGTTGGCAATGACGTCTATGGAAACCCCATCAAACGGATCAAGTATGACATCAAACAAATCAAGGTATGTTGGATTAAGCTCACGCTTTTTTTGTGTCATAAACTTATTTGCAATATGAATCTAAATGCTCTGTTCTCTGCGTGAATTGTCAGATGTTCAAAGGTCCCACCCAGGATATTGACGCCATCTACACAGCTCCCAGCTCTGCAGTGTGTGGCGTGAGTCTGGAAAATAATGACAAGGAGTATCTCATCACAGGTAAAACTTTTACCACATTTCAAAGCACACATTATAAAATATAAAATACGTCTTCACATTAGCTTTGATGTCGCCTAATGCACTTTTCTTCCTCTTCAGGCAAACTGGAGGCCGATGGGACGATGCATATCACACTGTGTGACTTCCTCGAGCCCTGGGAGGACCTGACTGCCACCCAGAAGAATAGCCTGACTCAGCGCTATGAAATGGGCTGTGATTGCAAGGTATAAAACGACTGCAAACTAGAATAATCTTGAAAGACGCATTGTTTGTTTTTTAATTTAAACCCCTGATGTTTGTCTCTTCTCCGATCCTCAGATCACCCGCTGCACCGTCATCCCCTGCATGATCAGCAGCCCGGCGGAGTGCCTGTGGACGGACTGGGTGATTGAGAAGACAGTGAACGGAGGGCAGGCCAAACACTTTGCTTGTATCAAGAGGAGCGATGACTCTTGTGCTTGGTACAGAGGGGCAGCAACGCCCAAAAGGGATTTCCTGGACATCGAAGACCCTTAACTCCACCGCTGTCCAATAGTCCAAAGATGTCTAAGATAAAAATACAAATAAATACTTTTTTTTTTTGTTTTTTGTTAAGACAACCATAGGGCAAGTGCTCCGGGCTGAGGTTGTTTTTATTTACAGGCCTCATTATGTTTTTAATCAACAGTCTTATGAATGCAGCACTTTCAGGCACTTCTACCCCTAAATCCAAAGCACTTCATCATAAACCACTTCTCTGTCAGCTGAAAAAAAAAAAGGGGATAATCATCACAATTCAGTATTACTGTTCGTAGCGTTTTTGTTCTTGAGCTATTTTACCTTTTTTAACCAAAGGTATTTTTTTTTTTTTTAAATTGAACTATAATTCTACAATGCAACACGTGCATACCTATAATTTAAAGTGTATTGTTTGTTCATGAATAACATTAAGTGGCAATTGGCGCCCTGATTTGTGACAGCAGGGCTATCACAAGGAACGATCACATCTTGCCTGTCCTGCTTCAGATTACTTCTTATTTTATTTTTTAAAGATGTGACAAACCTGTTTCGACTAAGCACAATCAGTGCTCACGCTAATGTTTTCTCTAAATAATCCTGAATAGACAAGAATGCACTTTGAACACAATTGCCACAGCAGTCATATTGTCTCTAATGAAACATTTCTGAAGAGGAGGATTGAATCCTCCATTTTGTACTTTTTTTATTATTACAGCTCTTCTCTTTGTAATGCTTTAGCGTATAAGAGCCTATTTTATTTAAGGAGGTTATATGATTCATCATATTCTATTGAGAAAAAAAAAAAAAAGCCAACATTGTGATACTTTTTGTGACATCATTGGTAGTAAGTAGAAGACCAAGTATTTTAACAGTATTAGCAAAATACACATTTTATGTGCCTTCGAGGTCAAATTGTAATCGTCCACTGCAGAGCCTTTGACATGACCATAAAAAATGTTGAGCAAATGCCATGTGACTTTATTAATTATGAGAGTGTAAAAAAGTTCTTCATTTGAAGCTGTACTCAAGTATGACGTCTTGTGCTGGTTTCACACGAGACATTTGAGATGATTTTTTTTTGCATGCATGTCCGGCTGAAACAATACTGTACATTTTGACTATTACATTAAATGTCAAACCCTGTTTAGATGCTTTGCACGGTTATTTTCACACCAATGCTCATTGTGTGCAGATCCACAAGACTCCACTTCATTAAAGAATCAGCGCGGCTTTGTTTGCTGGTGGTGTACATACAATAATACACAGACGGGCACACACGTGGTGCAGAAAGAACCGCATTTCACACTTGATGAAGGGAGGCACAGGTCGTACAGCAGGCGAAGAGAAACAAATAAAGATCAGTGTCATGTTTAATTTTCAGTTTCTTAAATCGGTATTTTAAAAAACCGTAATAAAGGCTGGGACAGTAACTGCTTTGTGACACTAAAACAGCAATCTGCTGCCGCTTAGTGGAGACAACAACGTGGGACATTTCACAGACATTCCTTCACGAGCCTATCCATGCGCACAAATACGTAATTTTTGAAATGACACTCTGGATTTCAAGATTATATATATAGTATATAGCACGGATAGATATAGCGTTTATTTAAATATGTTCGAGGATGAAATGCAACCGCAATGTTTTCTCTGAAGCTACTGTGACTATTCTGCGCTACTAGTTTGTTTGTTCACTCCAACAGCATTATTATCAAAGATGATTATGAATAGTAGGCTAATCAAATTAAATCCGCATAGGCTGCCTAAAATATGAATGGAATCTGCAGACATAATCATTTATTTGTTGGTAAAATCAGTAGCAATAAGGGAATTTGACACGAGGGAAGCCATTTCATTTTCATGTGAGCGAATGGCTACGCTTCTTTAAGACCGACATAACTGCAGCATATTGGGGATTTATCGGCGCTCTTTGTTGTTAAATTAAAAACTGTTAACATACATCCCAGCGACAGCATCGATGGTAAACAGCGGTGTCTTGAAGTCACTTGGTGTCTTTCTCCCGACAAGCGCTGCGTCAGTCTGAGCGCTGATTGGCTGAGCCGTTCGGCTAAGGCGTGACCTGTTCTCCGATTGGCCGTTCGTCGCTGTCAATCACCGTTGTCGCCGCCCTTTGATAATGCAGCATGGGCGAAAATACCAGACCCAAGAGCTACAGCTGAGGAAGCAGATCCCTGTACTGTCAACGTTTTCACGCGTTTGAACAGAAAGGTGAGCGAACTAAACGCCTTTCGGACGTACGTAATATATGTCAGCATATATATCCGAGATTATGTAGTCTAACAAGCAGGCGGGATGCGGCTGCTGGGGGTTTGTTAGCCACCCGGACGCTGAGGTGCTAACCCACATTGCAAGGCTATCGGCTCGCCACGTTAAGTTAGCTCGATGGCTAATTTGCTGCTGCTACTGTCAAGCGTGAAAAAAGACCGCAAACGACACAACGAGCAGCATCGCCATTGCCTCGCTACACACATACCCATTAAACATAGAGGGATACACACGTGTACGTTGTTGACGATGTTTTGTCTCCAAACTTGACACCGTCCAAGTTGACATTACCGTTAGCTGTGGTCGATGTTAGCAACCTAGCATTTGAGCTATGATGAGTGGCCCTAAGAGTTGACTTCGGCTGGTGTGCAGAGGCTGCCCGGCTAGTGGAGTGGAGATAACGAGAACTGCGACCCGGGGAAACTGTAACTCCTCCGCGTGGGACAGTAAAGTAACGATAGTTGTCTAATAAAGCAACAACAATAGAAGGATTTTTTTTTTTAGAAGTGACAGAAATAGCTGTGCTGCCTTCAGGTGCTTCCTATAAAATCCATCGTTTGCCGTTTTTTAGTCCACGAGTGGGTACAGCTCAAATCACTGCTCCTTGGTTATTACTGTATATAAATACATTTTTTTGCATGCTGGTCGTTGTCATTTAAACACGACCGTGTCCAGCAGCTGTATCTGTGTCAGCAACACAATTGCGTTGATTACATAATTTGCCAAAAGAACACTTTTCTAAAAGATGACATCTTCTAATTGTATTTTCTGTGCAGCAGTCTGAAAACCCCCCAAACCATTTAGTTCACTAGCATAAGACGACAAATGACAATGGTTCAAAATAGAGAAAAGCAACACATCCTCACATTTGTGAAGCTGGAACTAGTTTTCATTTTCACCGGTTAGCTAAATAGTTAATGATTTAGTTTTCAGTTGATCAACTAATCAAGGAGCTGACTAATCGTTTCAGCCCTATTCACTTTGTTGTTGTTCTGCCCACGTGGCTCTTTTATTGATAGATGTTGGCTCTATTAGAGAGGTTGATCTGAAGCATTTAAAAAAATGTATAAGACAGATGATAAATTGTTAATGTTGCTCTACCACTGTGGTTGCTGCAACACAGCATTCCGTTGACAAGATGACGTCTAATTAAGGAGTGTTTTTAAGTCTTTTTCTGGTCTATAAGTTTAGTCACAGTCGGACATGTTGACTCCACTTTGTTTCTATGTATTGGTTCTAATATGCGGCGCTATTAACCGCAGAATAATGGCAGTTTGGCCTGTGATTGCATTATCAGATTAAAGAAAACATTGACAACTCCACTGATGAAAATAAGCATGCCAGTGTGAGGAGTACTTCCAAAATACGAGATAAGCAGAACAGGCCTGTAGTCATTAGAGGACATAAAAGAGACTTATTGTCGTGTTCATATTGAGAGGTCATTACATATTTAACACACAGCTATTGCTTGAAATAGTTTAACTAGAGAGCATGGATGTACCTGAATGCAACACTCTTAATTAAAATGACTATTTTATGGAGTTATGATCATTTGAGGTCCCCCAAAAAATGTTTAAACCATCCACGTCTGAAGGTGACATCTTTTGGGATTCCTTATGCGAAGTATCTGCTCTCAGATCTCCCTCCAGACATCAGCACACCTCAACTAATATCCACGCACAGCTATCACTGCTGATGAATGGCTCATATCACCTCTCAACACAAAAATGTCCCTTTCATGACGGGATTACAAATGCAAACATAAACATTACAAAGTTTCTGTGTGCTACATACGAATGAAACGGCTAAATGCCATAATAATCGAATTAAACACCTGTGTTGTGGTTAACGTATCGATGTTGCTGACTGGTCTTGCGGTTGCATCGCTGCAGTTGCCCGTGTCCCCGTGGGGTTCCGGCGTTTTTTTTTTTAGCTGTATCAGGATCAGCAGCACATGGAGGTCAGTGTGCCCTTGTGCCCATACAATGCATGTTCAGCCCTCCTTCCCTCCTCATGACGTCACCGCCCACTCTGATGAGCACCGCTCTCCTGGCGCTCTGTGCCTTTCGGTGTTTTTTTTTAGTGTCGTACTACTGTAACATCTTCGTGATGTAATGCTTTCACCTTTTTAGGGTGGTTTGTTGTGTTTGGGAAGCGTCTCGGAGGCTGAGTGATTCATTCGCTCTGTCAGCGTGGAGCATATTGTGCCGGCCCGCTGCCTTTTTTTTGTAGAAAGTAGCGCATCAGTAGTCCTTCAATGGGCTGACTCTGGCAGATGGTTGTTGTTGTTATCTACGCGGACATGGTCCTTCTGGTTCACTCAGCTGCCCTGTATTTAAAGAGACGGCAGACAACCAATGCAAATGTTTAACCCTTTTTCTTTTTTTTTTTTTTAAATCTCTCATATCAACGATAGTCCAGATGACAACATTTGATGATACACCGCTTTACTGAAGAGACGCATCGATGCAATCAAGATAAAGGATAAGAATTAGTTCTGGCGTTTGACAGCAACTGTTGGTGCCTCATGTGCTCTAATGCTTGTCCTCTCATCTCATACACTCGCAGGCGCCCTGTGTTACCAGTGCCTGCTGTCATTCATAACTGTGGGAACAGCTGCCAAGACCCAGTTGGCACCTCGGATGCACACAATCCTTATCTCTCTCTCTCTCTCTCTCTCTCTCTCTCTCTCTCTCTCTCTCTCTCGTGGAGCCACGTCAGGATGTGTGGCCTTGAGAGGGCCTCATTGAGCACTTATGTGATTATCTGAGAGATAAATTCAACGTTTTCTGTTGATTAACTGCCATGGTGACAGATTGAAGTCACACCACTCACCCTGTAATAGATAAAAGGCAGTGTACCTAATAGGTTGTACCTAATAATAAGATGATGATTGGTCTCTTTGGGGTAATGAGCGTGAGTTTTGTGTAGCTTCCTGTGGGCCCAGTGAAGCGGCCCCGTTAAACAATTTACGACACTGACGCTCAATCCAACTTTCCCTGCAGTGATGTTCCAACAATGCCGATTGTGGATAAACTCAAAGAGGCGTTAAAACCTGGCCGAAAGGACACGGGTGATGAGGGGGACCTCAACAAGCTGTTGGCTTCCTCTGCCAAGAAGGTCCTCCTGCAGAAGATAGAGTTCGAGCCGGCCAGCAAGGGTTTCTCCTACCAACTGGACAGCCTGAAGAATAAGTATGTGATCCTCAATCCCAGGAACGAGGGCGCTACGGGCCAGAGGGCCACTGAGCCGGCCCAGATAAAGAGGCAAGGTAAGCCCTCACAGTGGAAGAGAAAATGTCGTTTTTGACCGTTTTCCCCCATATTCACCTTTCGTCCTCCGATGCGAGCCATAAAAGCTCATTTTCTGTGTTACTGTCCCGATATATCACAAAAGTGACCGCACTCCTCCTCCTGCAGTTTCAGAGAACACAGTCGGCGGCCAGTGCGATGGGGTCCCCGCGCCGCAGAAGTTGCTCTTTCCAGGGAGCAAGCTCGCGCTTAAATGGGACCGTGTGTACAGGGTGGGAGCCGGTCTCCACAACCTTGGGAACACCTGCTTCCTCAACTCCACCGTGCAGTGTCTCACCTACACCCCACCCCTCGCCAACTACTTGCTGTCAAAGGAGCACAGCCGTGCCTGTGAGTATTTGAAATGCTGCCGCACATTTAGAGCAGTTATACTCTCATTCACTTCTCAAACATTACGCACACCCACGTAGTTTTAAAATGACTCTGACCCTCGCTGCTGTTGCCCTATCAGAGGACACATGTGGCTGAATGTCAGTGTGGATTGCAAGCCAAAGCAGCTGGATCATTTCTTACCTTCAAACACAAATAAAATACAGATTATTTGTTTAAAAAATAGAAAACAATTTGCATTTTCCTTGTTGCTGTCATGGTTTTATATTAAATTATGTTTTTATAATGCACAATAATGTTTTTCTGAATCTCAATACTGTCACAATAACACATTCCTGCACTTTAATTGTCTGAGTGACTCTGATATGTCCGCCTTTGTCTGTGTTCCAGGTCACCAGTCGGGCTTCTGTATGATCTGTATAATGCAGAACCATATCATCCAAGCCTTTGCCAACACGGGCAACGCCATCAAGCCTGTCTCCTTCATCAGAGACCTGAAAAGTAAGATCGCCGGCTTCCTTCAGCGCTGCGCAATTGTGGCCGAGCAGTTTGTGCTCAATGCAGGTTGTGACGGGAATCACAGACGCCAGTTTAATACTGCCAGAGTCACGATGACGCAACGCTGGCCACAGTGTCCCGAGTGACAACAGCCAGTAGCTGCAGTGAGGCTGTGAATGAACACCAAGTAGAGAGGAAGTGTGAGTTGCACCTTGACACGGTGAGGTGCTGTGCTGTAGTCTCACAGGAGCCCTCCCTCCCTTCCTTCCTACCTTCCTGCTTCTTCCTTATGTGCTGCTGCAATCATGTCTCCACCTCCTGCACCTCTTTTTTTCCTCTCTCTCTCTCTCTCTCTCTCTCTCTCTCTCTCTCTCTCTCTCTC